TCAATGTGAGACAGCTGTAGACCAGAATGATTATTATTTACAAGTAGGGATGATCACTCTGTTCCTTCCTCCTGGAGAAAGCTCATTACCATAGCAGTACAGGGCCAAAATATCTAAAATTATGTCTGCAGAACCGTGCGGCACATCAGCTTTTAAAGGCATAATTCCAAACCAGACAAAAATGTTTGTATTTGTTTGCTATAAATACATGAAAATACATGAATGTGCAAATACTCAGATGTTTCTTGTATGACTGTCTTGTTACTACCTCTGTCCTACTCCATTGACTGCAGATGAAAATTAACATGTATGGCTAAATCTGGAATATTTATATGACAAATTTAAGCACTCATGTCAATTAATATGCTTTGTCCCTTCCAAATATACACAAACATAAGTCCAGGAAACACCATTACCTGATGATCCTGTGATGCCATCTTCTGGAGGGAAAATGAAATGTGTCATATCTCCTGAACACTGCATATGCAAAGACGCCACATTGTTTGGCTGCTGATGTAAACTTGAGTTTAACAATCTTCTCAAAAATTCTGTGCATTATTTTTCTATTTAATCATTTACATTAAGTGGAAATCAAATCAAAGAAATTCAGAATCTGGATGAATGTGATTTTAAACAATGCCTTGTCCTATTAAACCTACTTCAACAGCACAGAACAACCATGAGAAGGTGTGAAAAGGACAGTTTATTTCACCATCTTGTACAAAAATGCAACTGTGACACGTTCAAGGCTTTCAAGGGTCATAGTTTTCTATACAAAAACGTACATCTGTAATATCACTCAGGCACCCATGTAAGTGGTTCACACGGTGCAAGTCCTAATTAGAAATTGGTGATTTTGTCCCATCAATGTTTGGCAGCTTCCTCTCCCTTCTTCCTTCTCTAGGTTCATTTCTCCTACTCCTCAGAACATGTTGGCTTTATCAACATGGCAAAATCGTTAATGATGCTGTGCCTGCACGACAAGTTCAGGTGGCAGAGTGTTGAATTTAAGCTGCTAAAGACCTTCTGCTCCACCAGCTTCATAGGAGGTTAAGAGAAAGTGGGAAAGGAAGTTACAAAACAAAGACAAAACCAGTGTGTCAGTGTAGTTTGGTGTAATTTCTTGAGCAAGGTCAGTGCTTTCAGTCCTTAATGGTTGTCGATGAAGGGTTGGCTGTATCCACAGTTTAACAGAACTGCATGTAAGTTTTCCACATATTTAATATCCTCTTCATTTGAATTTGCTTATTGCAAGTCTAGCCCATGAGATATCCCCTGAAAAGACAAAAGACAAATTAGCACAAATTAGACAACAGCTACAAAGAAGTACAATCAACAACTCAGTCTCCCCTTTAGACAACTTTGTAAGCTCAGATTGGATAACAAGTATTTGACACGTGGGGGTGGATTCAATAGATTCAAGCTTCGACTTACGGCAGCTTCATGCGCATGAACACTCGGGCCATGAAGAAGCTGAGGAGCACGCTGACAAATCCAATGAAAAGCAGCAGGAAGCGGTTGAGTTTGGGAATGTTGGGTGCATTGGAGCGGTCCAGGATTATAAAGCCCAGGCCTCCCATTGTGAACAGGAAGCTGGATGCTAGTCCTTCCATAATGTACTGACCGTTTACTCTGGAAAACACATCAATAGGATTCAGCTTCAGATCTTTAGACTGTGTTTTAATTCCAAAAATCTTACACGCACCTGTAGGCCAAGAAGGCAACTGGTCTCTGGTGTCCATGCTCATCAGTCATTGAACCCACACTCGGTGGCTCTACAATGACGTCGTAGATGATACCTGTGCAGTGAATGGAGAGAAAAAAAAAAGGGTTAATTCATAATTAATTAAGTTTAAGGTAAAGTCTGAGCAGTGAGAGCGCTGGCTGAACAGACAGGTGATAATCACCATAAGATCAGTGATCAACAACTACAGCAAGATAAAGACAAAGCAAACTACAGATATTCAGTTAGTTTAAGGTAGGCTAGTTTGTTAGCCCTCTATTCTCTTATATTGTTTTGTGATGTATTACACGCTGGTTTACAAGCGCAACAAAACCCCGCAAATCTAACAACGCAACAAAAGCACGTAACTGAGTAATGGCATTAAATACTACACTGATAACATCAAATGCAACACAGAATTATCTGGCTAGCCTTCAGGCTTTTACGTTAGCTTAGCAAGACCATTTACCTCCAGTGATGAGAAAGTAGGACACAATAACGATCGCATAAACAGTCATGGCCGACGGCATGTGCAGCCATGACGGTTTCTTCAGTTTTATGTTTGGACATTCAAGCACAGCAAAAGGTATACTGTATAAAGTCTCCATGGTGTATGAAAATATTTCCAGTCACCACAGTAGAGGACCTCTCTGCCGCTGAATGCGCAGGCGCAAACACTCGGTTGACGTGTCCCGGAAGTACATTTTTTCACCCAACTAGGCGTTAATATTTTTTAAAGTGATATTTTTTTTTGTCATTTACTAGCATTAAAAACATATTGCATTTATAGTTAAATTAACCCGATTTTATTTAAGAATCAATCAATAAAGTATATTTATATATATATAGATATATGTTGGGTAAGGCCAATCTTTTACGGTTTCGTTTCTTAAAGAGACAGTAATCTTTTAGAGGGTTTATTTAAGTGCACAGCTTTGTTGAATGAAACCTTACCACCCAAACGCTCCTATGTAACCAGTTTCATTCATTTTTACTGACTGGATACACTGCACTGAATTTAAATATTTCATTATTTTCATTAGTTAAAGTTTTAGCTTCTTCTTCTTTTCTCTTTTATTCCAGCACAGTTGTGGTGTGGAGCACCTACAATTTCGTTGTGCATGTACAATGACAATAAAGGGATATACTCATCTATTCTATTCTTATGTTTCTTCCTCTTCACTGTGAAAGTCAACATGATCATGCTTTAATGGTCCTTATTCATCCAGGCATTTAATCATTTCGAGTACCTTCATTGGAGGACACAGCAGAGGCCCAGTTATTAATTTGTTTGGTGTTACAAGACCAAGCATCCATTCAAGATACACATGCATAATGCCACAATATACATTTGTTTTACTATGACTGCCACCAAAGGAGTTCTTGAGTGATACCTTGGATTGTTGCTTTTAAACAGTCACGCATCTGATTAGCATCCTTGGTGGCTTAAACACTTCTGTATCAGTGAATTGGACCAGTGGGTGAAAGAAACCACATTTAATGAAATATTTCATTTTGGTACTTTGAAATGTAGTTGGTACGCCTACTCCATAGCATCTATTTTAAAGCTTTAGTGACTTTTAGTCAATTACATGGTCATAATACTTACTTCAGGATACAGCCTAAAAAAATAGTGTAGTTTTCCATTCCATTTAGTTGCGATCAACTACTGATCGCTCACATAATGCACAGGAAACTCAAATACCTCAAAAACACAGCTGTACATTATGTTTGGACATGAAGAACCCTATCATAGCAAAGGTCTTCTTCAACAGAACTGAACCTTTAGACACTGCAAAAACATGTCACAAAGGGCTCCATTAACACAACCAAGATCTGAAAGTCCTAGCACCCCAAATGGAATTGAAGAAATAAGAACAAACAAAAGTACTGCGGAGTTTGATCCTAGGTGCACCCTTTTCCTCTCACAGTCCAGAGACATTTTTGAAAAGACTCCCTGTAACAGCCTTGCTGTCCAAACATGTTACTGTAACATCTTTAGTGATAATTTTGCATTCGTTAAACATGTATACAAACATTTATTTCCAGTTGCTTCCTTAATCCTGAGGGATCAACACAACAGATGGCTCTGCATGTGTGAGGCCCCCCTTTAACCACAGACCTGGCACAAGACCAGAGAGGAATCTTTGAAATAGACCCAAAACACACAGACTGTTCAGCAATTTCAATAAAAGAAAAAAATGCTGCGACAAACAACATGTAGTGGATTTGTTTGACATTTTTTATTGTGGCAATACAAATACAAAGTTTACTTTGACTTCTGGCTCTGTGCCTGTGCCTTCAGCACCTTGACAACGATCTTCTGCTCCTCAATCAGGAAAGCACGCTTGATCCTAATAATAAAAAACAAAGGAGATCAATTAACATAATGAATTAGCTGATCACAGCATACCTAACAAGTTTGTATTTTAGTGCTTTCAAATTAAAAGTTTGATGCCTGTATCAGTCTATTTTCTCAGTAACAAGCATCAGAAGATGAAGGGAAGTGCATCTTTTACCTGTCACGCACACACTTGGCGCACATGGATCCTCCGTAGGCCCTGCTAACGTGCTTCTTGGTCTTGGAGAGCCTCATCAAAACTTGAGGTCTAACAGCGCGAATCTGTAAGAACACAGATATGGATGTTGAGAACAATGGAGGAACAAGCAATTGCAGAGAGACAACTTTCAGCAGCACAACCTAGAAAAAGTTGGGCTCACAGCAGTTGAGCAATTTTATAAGCTGCACACTAAAAACAATCGAATTGTGGCCAGTTTGCTACTGTGTGACAAAAGCACGCTGCCATGCTTCCCTGGATTCAGACCTGCCTGCAGTGGATCACACAGTGCTGATGACACAAAGCTGTAGGGGTGAACTGGAGGAAGGTGGATTTATATATACCGCTCTACAAATGATGGTCACTGCAGTGATGTCTTTAATAGGACCATAGAAAGATCTCGTAGTTATCTGAAGAACAACCACAGCTAGCTTAAACACCAGCAAGTTTCTTGCATTGAGAAAACTCAAAGGTTTTATCAAAAGTGTACATTTAATGTACTCAAGAGTAGTGCGCAGCTTATCAAATGGTCAGACATTTAATGGAAAATGTTCAGGCCTCTATTAAAACAAAAACGCCCAAGAAACCCCCCCAAAAACAAAGGTGACACAAACACTGCCTGTTTAGAGTCGTTAGCGTAATCACCCAGGGACAACCCTGAAACAACCATGTTTCTAGGTGTACACACACTTATTAATAATGTCCTTTCTCAATGTATTTGCACTTTCAAGTGTAAAAACTACTTATTAATACACTGGAGTGACCTTAATTCTCCTTATGAACCTACAACCACCAAAGCAAAGACGATGATGCATATGTGCACTAAGAAGACCAGTTCGAAATCAAAGTTAACACTTTGAGGTATTTGTAACTTTTAAAATAGCTGAATTAAAACCCATTTGAACTAAGGAACTTAAAAGAATTACAGAACAAAGTTTAACTGGGTGTCAAAACCCCACATCCGGATCCCTCCAGCTGCCATACCACTCCAGCTGTGGCGGCTTTTCAACAAGTACCTACAAACAATTTACTGAATTTGGCAGTTCTAACGAACACTTTGTTCCTGGCAGTCTGAATGTTTACAGAGAGAGCGTGAGAACTAGCGCATTACCAACATGTTCCTTTATTTGCCTATTGAAAGAAATGACATATACCTGCTAACATTAGCTGAACCTGAAGTGGCATGTTGAGATCAACTGAACTGTTTAAAAAACAAAACAAACAAAAAACCCCACTGGAAACACTGGCACCATTACAAACCCAAGGCACCGTCTATAATGTGGAATTGGCACAAGCCATTAGGCAGTGGTTACAGGGAGTAATAACGTAGTACTCAGAAATAAGCAAACAGCACCAGGTGAAAAGCTTCTGCTCCTGTGAAAGTTGATGTCATGTGCACACAAAATCAGGACATCTCTACTGGTGATTTCACAGCAACAGAAGAAAAGGCATTTGAGGTTGCAGGGAGCTGCAGGATTTTCCACGCTACCTTTCCAGTTCCCAATCCAATGCAGAATGCTTACTTCACCGGATTAATGTAAAAATGTACATTAAAAAAAAAGGAGGAACAAATATACGCTGATGCTTCAACAGCTTGCTGCACTATTGTCTTTACTATAAATCAACCTCATCTACACTTGGCAGTGAGGGATGCTAAGTATCCTAGTCTACAAGTTCTGAAACACAAATTTAAACACAGAGCACCTTCTTCAGGTTACAATGGTTACAATACTTACTCCACGCAGTCTTCCTGGGCAGATGCCACATGCTGACTTGGGGGCCTTGCCGACCTTCTTAGTGTAAAGGTACACAATACGATTACCAGGAGTCCGTGAGCTACACAAAAGCAAAAAGAGGGTGGTTTAGTTTTCTTCAGAGAGACCATGCACAACATCACATCACAGGAGATGTGGTGTATCACAGTAGCTACTAGCCTATATACAACTACAGCCCCGTCCTGGCATTATGTATTCATAGTCGGGGTACCAGCTCTATATAGATAGACATGCAGTGAGCCAGGCATAGAAGCAAATACAACCAGAGAGAGTTTACTTACAGTCTGGTTTTGTTGGAGGCGGTGTTGTAGGACAACCTACGGCGGTAAGTCAGG